TAAAACCTTCCGGCTTAAACCTTCCAACTTTAGACTTCCAACTTCAACTTCCGACTTCCAACTTCCTACCCTCCGTCATAATAATCTCCTGTCTTAAGACGCCATAACTCCTAGTATCTACAATTGCTCTATGCTCCAATCGTCATTATTATTCCATGAATAAAGGAAGTGTATTTGTACAAAGGGACGAAATTACATTCCTGCTGCACCAATCATAATTTCATTGTCAAGGTAGCTGTAGTTGGCTACAAATAATAATAATAATATTAATAATAAATACAGCGGATTATGAAGCAATGTAAGGATTTCCCAACAACTGAAATTTTTGCAGTGTCACTAAAAATGGAAATCAATTTTATAAAGCTATTAGTACGCCATTTTAATGTAAAATTCTGTATGCATTCAGTTCACGTTGCAGATGTATATTTTTATCCTAAACACCGCCCCCTATATAGCGTTTAAGGTGTAGCCCCCACCCCCCCCGGATTTTCATATTTTCATGGCCAGGCAAGTCATCCCCACTCCACCTTTTCCCGTCCCCCAATTTCAAGCAGAGATTTACCCCCCTGGATTAAACTGAGACGATTATGACTTCAAGTTAGCTTGGGTAGGATCCACTAAACACCTACCAGTGTGAGAGAATGTATCGAGGTTTTGGTCCACGGCAAGCTCGGCGTCGAGGGGGTCAGCATCATGGACAGAACTCTGGGTCGTTGTGACTGCACTGCCTTGCAAATCGAGAGATAATCCTGTGTATCAAAATGTGGTTTGATATAGAAATATGCAGTTAAAAGCCTTCACTTCATCAACACTTTAGCCTGCTATGATCACAATACCATGCAACGAGTACCCCTTCATCATTTAGTAATGGAAGGATTTTGCTAGTTATTGCATAGAATATTCAGTCCACGAGGGCTATCCTTAAATACAAGTGGCTAAACCTAACCTATCAATACATGTGGCTAAAACTACCCCCTACTACTTGGTCACCATAATATACGCAGTGATAATTCGCATGGATTGACATCATATAGGTTTTGCCGACCAACTATTACAAGTTGTGCAAATTAAGGTAATGTCCATTCGAATTCTTGTAAACTGACTTTTTTCAGCATTCAAATATCAAAAGGACTAATTGGTTTCGTTTTTTAAGTACTAATGTGCTGTGTCAATTCAAATAGAGGCCTCCTTTAGACAATACAGATTCATTGAATCCTTGGGAAGCGGCTAAATAAGAACTCAATGTTTCCAAAACCAGGGAAAACTCCATTCAACCAGGAAACACTTCCAACGTATTGCTTTATTTGAATCTGTTGGGGGGTTTTGGCATAACATTATTTCTGATTTGAATTTGCGAAACTTTATATTTGGGGGCAGGGGGGACGAAAGACCAGTAAATGAATGCATTTGGTGACAAGGACAATTATTTTCATTTTTATATTTTTATTACAGCTGTTACCTATCATTGGTATGTACTCCTGATCGGTGTTTACATTATCAATGTGGACTTTCCAGGCAAGAGAAGTAGAACAGACATATGGATAAATGTACAAGGAAACATGGACAAATTTTGTTTTCACGATAAAACGACAACCAGCCGTTGTCTTAGGCATATGTTTTCTGGTTTGCATTTGCATACATATAGCTAAGCGACTCTCTGTATATATATTGTGGTTATGAATAGTATACAACGAAAAACAAAATAACAAACGTAAAGGCATTCTCACGTATTAAAAGGATTTTTCTCAGACATTATTGAGGTTAGAGTAAGGTGCGCAACAACTACTTAATTACGTAGTTCCACAACGCTTTAAGTTTGACAGAGATTAACTTAAGATAATGCAAAACTTACACACTCAAAATTCTAGTTATCTGTGGTTCAATGAATCTAAAATCGATTCCAAAAGTGTGTAAAGTTTCTGAGGGCGATTGGGAAAATGCCCACGAACAAAAAGTTTGACTGGAGTGCATCATATTTGGACAAAACGAAAAAGAATCACCAAAGAGAAATGGCCAGGACCTAAAATATGACAGTGCCATGGTATGGGTTTCTGGGGTGTTAAAACATCATGTCCCATATTAAGCAGTCACAGATTATTTTGTTTCACCGCTATCTTGAATTCGTTGCAATTTTTTCCTCACTTGAACGTCTCAAATTTAATCAAAAAGACGAGTATGTCATTCTGCAGCTGCGCAGAACGTTGTGCGACGCACATGGATGTACTGATTACACTATGCCAGTCGCAGGTGACTAGTTTAAAGTAATTCAATTTAGTCTTAGCAAATTTTAAGGAAAATCTTCATGCCCGTATTTTAACGTGTAGAGAGTTATTACGTTTTGGAACTCGTATGAAAACGCGAAATTCGACCGTCGACAAAAAATGCACAGCTTGTGTAATTGATGGTATTATGCAAAAACATTATATTTAGCTAGTAAACACATTTTTTGTGCTATCAGTTTTTAAACATACATGTATTTTTTTTTTTAAATTGTGTTTAAAACTGAAACACACTCTTTAGACCGTATTACCAGTTGGCAGCTCCAGGTTTACAGTTTGAACAGCGAATTTTTTAAACTGAACATTGTTTTCCCAGAATAACATCATTGCAACAGCGCCCTCACAACCCTGGAAAAGTGTGGCTACGATAAATGTTTTTCAAGTACACATTTCGATACACATGTACACGTCATTACAGGTGGATTAAAAAGTGTAGAAAATCTTCACAGAAAGTGCGTCTTTGAAAATTTACACAAAAAGTGTGTTTAAAAACATTCATAACATGGGCAGTTCTCCAAACAAGAGAAAAACCCTACAATTCGACAAAATGGTTCAACAAGTGTCTTCTGGAGAAACTTGATAACAGGCATGCTATTATGCACTGCAGTCCAATGCAAACAGCTCGGGGAATAGAGTATTACTTCATGACTAAACTGAACCAGGTCAAAAGTACTAAATTCTTGGTTGTTAATATTGAAGAGAATCTCACCTGGAGCAAACATATCGACGTTTTATGTACAGAAATCTCCAAAAATATTGGCGTTAAGAATAGAATAACATTTTTTTTACCGGAAATTGTACGCTTGACTTTGTATAATACCCTCATTCTTTTCTTCTTAATTCTTTCCTGGGGTATTCGACCTCTCAACGCAACAGGCTGTTTCTTTTTCAGAAGAAAGTCGTCCGAACAATATCAAAAACAGATTATCTAACACACTCAGGGTCGTTATTTAGGAAACATGGAATACTTAAAATATAAGACCTTTTCAATTTGAACTTTGGTAAATTCATGTTAAGTACAAACATGGTTTGTAACCTTGCTATTTCAGTGACTGTTTTTATAACTCTTTCTTCTGTACATTCTCTTGTAACTAAAAGTGTATCTAAGGCCTTATAAGGGCAACTTTTGTGTCAATTACAACTGTACGTCTGTTTCCAAAAACAGTCTTATCTCACGTTGTCTGTCCTTTTGTAACAACCTTATCACAGATCTGACAAGACTCTCAACGCTAAATGCATTTACTAGGAAACTCAAAACTTGTATTATTAGCTTGTATAAAGACAATCAGATCATGTAATCTAGCCAACCTACTTCCATTCTTTAAAGGTCTTGTCTCAACAGCTAGCACATCTGTCCTTAACTGTAGTCTGTCCTGTCAGTGGATTATATTATATATCGCATGTCTTCTGTCTCATGTTTCTTGTCCAGTCTGAACCATTGTTCGTGAAAATAGGGAAAGCCAAAAGCACAGTGCTTCTTTTTCCCCCTACATGTTGGTAATAATTTAGACTATGTATAATTGTTAAAATTAAAATACAGCAGTTCCCAATATTGTTGTAACAAAATGCACTATGCACGTATGATTTTGATGTACGTGTACCTGGGATTCCATTTGTTGCCAACATGCAATAAATGTACTGCTAACACTTTAAACAGTTTAAGAAATAGGCCGTGTGTGTATTCAGCAAAAAGGAGCAAAAGCCACGAACACGGAACCTGAAACACAAATTGGTCGTGCCAGCCTCGCCTGTAGTTCCTGGTTTTATTTCAACATTACTTATTACTGTTACCTTACCCATTTGCAGAATGGAGACGACAAACAGGACCATTGACAGGCCCAGATGATCCCAGAACACCATTGCTCGGTCGTACTAAGTGTGATAAATCAGTTTCGTTGATATCATTCCTGAGAAAATGAAGGAGAAATTTTCCAGCATTCAATAGCTGTGTTTAACTATACATGGGTTAATATACATGCAACGGCTAGTGTCTGTTCCTAACCTTGGACGACCTTGCCTTCTCGCATCCGTGGATAAATTGAATGAACAACCGCACGTGACTCGAACAACGGGCATACATCATGTGGTAAAACTTAGACCCGGAAAACCCGAAGATTTTTACAGACATTTTTATTCACAGTGCTTCCTTGTGTAGAATAACTACATGTATATTTACATGTTGATTCAACCCCTATTATCTCATCTCTGTAACGATGTTTGTAATGGAAGAGATGTGTCTGTGTATATGCCAAATGTTGTGCGGTTTTGTTCCTTGCCCACGTAACTAAACCTTTCAATGATGTCGAGTTCTGTAATGAATTAATCCAGAGTGGGTAGAACGAGCTTTCGATGGAAAACGTAATAACAGAGCTTTTGAAACCCTTCACGTTGTGCGGCCTGCCGAATGGAGAATTTATACGGAGCCAGCTTGTCACGTCCAAGAAATTTTGGAAGGATAATTCCTAACTGAATCTATTTCACGAAACACTCAAGTCAGAATTTCATCTTTGCGTTCTTCAAGCAAATATCGCAAGAAGGTCACATGGATATGTGTTCAAAACGAATTTGATCAACAACCTTTCACTTCCGGCAATGTCGTTCCTAAGTCTCCTTGTTTGTGAACGTTTGTTTTCATTTCATGCACTAACGTGAGAAAGAGATTGCATGAGAGCCATGCTAGAGGGTGCAAGTTTCTTAAGTAGGGCTCCTCTGGCCAGGACTGTACTTAGCTGGTTCACAAATGACTATGAAATGCACGCGTTACGGTCGCGTTGCTACCAGCAAATTGAACTCTTCCGACCAGCATAGCCCTTTGCAACAATCGAGGGTGTGCTTCAGTCTGCCACATGCAGATCTTCTCATTAGATGTTAGACTTGACTTAAGAATTTTCATTAAACGTACGTGCAAGTTAATTGCTTAATGAAACCCTGGTATCAACGGCGCGGGGATTGAAATGGACAGATATCACCAAATATGGTCATAACCCAGTGGGCACACGACTTTTTGTGGTCGTTATGTGGTCGTGTGTCGTAAAGTGATCGTGACAAAAAAAAAAAAAAAACAAAAAAACGACGTCTTAAAGACGTCTTTTATCCACCGTTAGAAACATTGCTTCAGCAACCATGACCACAAAAAACATGACCTCTTTATGACCTCGTTTTGCAGTCGTTATCAAATCGTCGGTACCACACATACAGTGAAAGGAGAAAACGACGTCTTAACGACGTCTTTTTTCCTCTAGTATCTGAAATATTGTCTTCAACAAGCAATACGTGAAACACACGACGTCTTTACGACGTCATTTTAGAGTTGTTATCAAATCGTCAACGTACAGCAGAAAAAGAAAAAAAAAACATCTAGATAACCTTATAAAGATTTTGCACGGTGGCTTTTAGTTTGTCTTGGATTGAGTGCTGGTTCTCACTCGGTTTTACTGCGAAAGGTCAAGTTCCGCCAGAACAATAGCATAAAATGTATTGCCAAATCCCGCCAGCGGCCGCAGGTGACTGCTCTGTTTGCCTCATCTATTCGTCATGAGGGATGTGTGAGATAGCAATAGTGCGAATGTCCATTTTACAGGGAAATTTTAACACAAGAGGAATCGCGGATGTGCAACAGTACACATGCTTGTCATTATGATTGTTTGCAGTGGAACTGACCCTTAACCTTCTCCTTTGATTTAAAACAACAGGACATTAAAATACCCCTACATTTAGAATGAGCGAGGCTATTTGCATTCATTGCCTGCATGGTCGCAAGCAACGGATGGCTTAAAGCGTGCGCACTGCGTTACTATAGTGGCTCTGGCTTAGTCTTAGCTGGTTCCAATCCTTTCGAGGAGACTCTGAGCATGCCGACTGGAACCAGCGATGGCACAGACTGAGGTCATGTCCAAAAATCAAAACGGGCTTCCAGAACTACGGTTAGGTCTGTGGACTTTGGCGTCTACACGTATTTCCAATGGAGTAAAGACCTTCAGGTCAGGGAACCAGACTACTTCTTACTTTCGTCAATGCTTTGAATTGAAGTGAGTCCGAGTACGAGTATCGCTGCAAGCAGCTTGTCCGTTAAACGAAGAGGACAGGTTTGGCCCTTATTTAAAAGGTAAGTGCTTATGAAATGTAGTTTGCCACCTATGGGCGTTGTTGGTAAAGCAGAGGTCAGGCTTAAACGCAATAATTTTAATCCTCAACAGTCGACCAGGTTGGCCACGGTTGTTTCCTACCTCCATGGGTGGACTACAGACAGTGTTTATTCGTAGTCGTACGTAGACTCTCAGTCGTAGTGCAGTAAGGACCACCTGGGCTAACCACAGTGCCCATACTTCAGCGTCAACAATAATGGCAAATACAATCAGCGTCAACAAATCTAATTTATATTATGTTGAGACTAAACTGTGCACATGTATCTGCAGTATTGGCCACTCGATTTAGAGACAGTTGGTGGCAGAAAAGTCCCTTTTCATTTTCAGTCACATTGAACATGCGCACTTAAGCTGAGACGTGGAGTAAACGATGGTAAGGGACCGGTTTATTTGCTGCACTATTTAAAAGTAAAATTTAAGACTTTTCTACTAACTAAATATTTGTAATTGATTATTCCACTGGGCTACAGATTTGTTTTTTCATTATGTTAATATTACATGTATATTTGCTCTTGTGTGTTTTACATGTTTGTATCTTGACTGTATGTTAGTGTATACGGGAGTCCCTACTCGACAAGCGCTGCTTTTTGGGGACCCCCATCCACATTGTTTTCTTTGTACTTCTTTTACTGCAATAATTGTGTGGAGAATAAAGTGAATTGAATTGAGCTGTGGCCGCTTGCCTGGAACACACTCAACCTCCTTTTCACCTACAGGTGTTAAATAACCTGCCATTGTTCCACTTTGTATCACACACTCCCGCTTCCCGGGATTGTACACACGAATCGGTAAAACCTCTTGGTCGCCTGACACCACCACCCGAGCCGCAATCATCCCTTTACTTGCGATCTCACTACGATCCACTGGCTCCATTATCCCTGGTCCATTCACCGTGTTCCTCCCCGCTACATGTCCTGGCAGAATCGCCTTGTGGCCAGCCGGCACCCGAGTCGTCCTCCCGACGACAACCCTGACGCAAATATTCGCCCCACGGTCTTCACTGCACTTTACATTCTCCCCGTTGACGGTAAGCTCAAACATCTTGAAATTCAAACTGCCACATGTTGGATACAAGGAATCCATGCCCAGGATTCCATCCACCGACAGCAAATGCCCAAATGTCGCATACATCGAATACGTCGTCCTCCCCACCTGAAGGTCGATCCAAGCGCTACCCAACGTCTTGATATGTGAACCATCTGCGTTCTTGATACACGAACCCCCCGAGGCGAGATTTGGCCTTCTCTCTGCCGGTATTTTGTGGAACAATGTTGACGACAGAAAGGTATCCATCACCCCGGTGTCCACCAGAAGCCTCACCTGTTGTCCCCGTATTTTCTGCTGGCACAAACATGCCCCTATTCGCTCTCTCTATTGGCATTCTGGGTTCTCCGTTCCCTTTGTCATCTAATGGCTGCATGTCTCTCGGCCCTTCGCTGGTTCCAACCTCCCTCGGGCCTCAGGGTAGGCTACCGGTCGTTTCCCGTCCAGTTCCTCATAGCAGGAGGGTATGTGCAGTCACGCGCAAAGTGTCCTCTCGCATCTGAAGCAAACAACGTCCTCCCTAGGTCGTCTCCTATAACTTGCGCCTATGGGACCTTCAACCTTCCGCAGTTGGGTGTCTCCTTTACCTCTGGCACCATCTCGCACCAAACCGGCCGCTGTGTCATTAGTTTTCGCATGAGATTTCTGGAGGGGTCCCACTTGTTTCTGCAATTCCTCCACAGCATTGCCCGATTCTACCATCCTATTGAATTTTGAATTCTGGCCACTCCTCTGTTGCTCCACCTTCAGGAATCCTTCTGTGGCCATTGTCACCCTTGCTGCTTCGTCGAGAGTTTCTGGACGAGCACGGAATGTCCCCTCTCTTATTGCTGGATCCTCAATCGCATCTGAGAAGTGGCCCTTCGCTAGGCGGTCTCTGTCGTCGTCCCCAAAGTTCGGGTTTACCAACGCTGTCAATTCCCTGATTGACTCACTCAATTCACTCAAAGCCTCTTTAGGTCCCTGTCGCCTGTAACGAAGCTCCATCTTGTGGTTTTCTGCAAGCTGACCCGGCCCAAATCTGGCCTCAATTTTCTCCGTTAAATCCTGGTAGGTCATATCCCTCCTAGACGACAACACCTTGACGGCTGCCCCCTGAAAACCCGCTGCTAAGAAGACTTCAGCCTGCTTGTCTGTCCAATAGTTGGCCAGATTTCACGCTTCAAAATACTGAATGTAGTCTCTCCAAGAAGACTTCCCATTGTACCGATCGGGTGTGATTTTTGGTCGTCTTGTCTGTCCACCTGCCTGCAACTCTCCTTTGATTCAATCCTCGCATCTCGCCTATTTAGGTAAGTTCTGCTACCAGTTGACCTCTCTCCACCTTGAGACTTCTCAGCGCTCCCCAATGTGAAATTTATCCCCACAGACCAGCCTTTTGTTGCGTCGACCGTCTGCATAGACACTGAAGTGCTTGCGGGAGTATTGGTAGGTGCCACTAGCCAAGTCCCCGCAGAGAACTCTGTCCTTGATTCTGGCGTCCACCTGTACCCCTTCGCAAGGGTCGACGATGCCAGGCCCAAACTCCCAATAACTCCTACTGTCTCGAAGCGCCGAGGTCCCATCGGCAGCGACTCCTCCTTCATTACCCTTTCAGCACGCAACTGCTTATCTTTCAGTCCTGAGTTGAAACCTCTTAACGAGTCCAGTTCCCATTGCAAGTGACTTATTCTTAACTGGAGCTCTGCCTCAAGTCGCTGCTTCCTCTCTGCGTAATCCAAAGCTACTGACGAGTCCTCCACGACTTGTGGTTGCTCATCAGTCCTTGCTGCACTTCTTATTTCCTTAGCCCTCCATGCTGTCCTGTATAGGTGACGTGCTGTTCCTATCTATGTGTACTGTTCTATCTATGTAGTTATTGGCGTTACTTCTGTTCGATGTAGGTTTTGAGATGTGTTCTGTACGGTTCAAAATACTATGCGATTTAAAATACTGTATCTATTGAAAAAAATTGAAAGAAATAAATTTACACTGTTGCGTGTCTTGCCTTTTCGGATGCAAATGTCTAGCATCGAAAAACAGTCTCGGCAGATTTTTGAAACGCTTGCTTTCCCTACAAATGTATTTGCTTAGCCAATTTTAATAAATACAGTTATCCTTTGTTTTGGTAAGTTGGGCCTGATATTCATTTGTCCCAGTCGCCAAATGTTTAAAAATTCTGCGGTTTAAATACTGTATCTATTGAAAGAAACTGAAAGACATCATCTAAATTCACGTGAAAATTAATCAATTGAATACGTATAAAAAGTAGATCATGCAGCATGATGGCACCTCAAAATAATAAACAAGAGTAGTTCCAAGCTAATTCATGGTGTTAAGAACTTGTTCATTTGATCTTGGTTTTATAAAAACTGGTACTTTTGATCACGTAACCTTAAGGTCATATTCCTAATATCAAATACATATTCTGTTACCACTCAAGGCATTTTGTATGTAGAGCTTGGATCAATAATTATGCCGCTTTGGAAGATTTGTTGCAAACAATGCTAAAACAGAGACTGGTTTTGCTTTTATTAAAAGCAAATGCATTCCCGTCACGAAAGCAAGGAAAAATAAGAAAACCCTGGTTCACTGTTCAAATGACACTCTTTTGTGCATTTTGAAATATTTTCCATGTTTATACATTTTACCTGTTACCTGCCTGAGGCGGCCACGTTCTGGTCTTTCCAAGTTCAACAAATCCTTTAGTCTTGGACTCATCCTAACTGTCAGGCACACGAGGAATCCAGACATGTTTAGGAAGTACTTATTGCAGCAGAAGTTGAATGCAACTACAGCAAGTTTCATTTTTTACCATAGATAGCTGTGTGGGAATAAAGCAATTATTTTCGTATTATTCTAACTTCTCTTTTTGACGGAATTTTGGGATTTGAAGGACAACAAACGCTTGATTGTACAGTACACAGCTACTAACGTCTGTACACCTGTCAAGGTCAATGGTCGGCGGAAATTGGGGAAATTGAAGGTAGTCGGTATAAATTCATTGCCCCTACGTCCTTCTTCGCTCCAGCTTCAAATCTCTCAACATCCATCGGTACAGGTATTTAAAATAATTTTTTTAATTATAACAGAACTGAATTTTAATGACGTGATACAAATTTTTATTTCAAGTCAGAACCTTAATTAACTGCCAGAAGACGTACTTTATGTGGTTGAAAAAAGTAACAAATTCAGGTCTAAGCTCGTTGGCAATGCATACTTTATTTCCACAAAAAGGCTATCCATTTTGCTTCCATTTTTAAAGGTATCCCAACTCTCACCAAGATGTTCTTGAGATATACAGATTGACAGCATACAACCTTAATAGGCTTCCCAGAAAAGCAGTTCGTAGAGGATCAATGTTTTAATTAATGAGCGTGGTAATCTCGTGTAACAAGTCAAAAGTGTTGAAATATTACTTTCCCAGTCTCACTTGAGTAAAGAAGACTGTCTCTGAAATGCATAAATTCGTTCATTATTTACCGTGTTATTACATGCAAAAACATTTCGTTTTATTAACGACTAGACTATAATCTTTGAAGTACTGGCAAGAAGAAAAATCTGCTGCAAACTTCTGAAAAGGGATATCTGCCTATTATTCAATTTCAATCGTATGCATTTTGTTCAATATGTAATAAACACCACTCGTATACTATAATGATGTGTAGCATGTTGTATAAATTACCTGGGATTAAACCTAAGGGCGAAATGCAAAAAGCGTACGATAAGGCTTTGTTCCTATGTGAGACAGAAATGTTCTCTTGTACAAGCAACTTCCATTGCACAACCTCTTGTCGTTTAATTAAATAAATTATAAACAGGAATTTTGCCCGTGGAAGTGAAAAACCAGTCACAATCCAAGCAGGTAAGGGCTCAGAGGGGAAAAAATAAACACCAATAAACTGGGTTATTGGACTGAAACACGACAGAAGCCGTCGGCAACACTTGTGCGTCGCTTTTCTCTTGCAGACACGTGATATTTGTCGAAGCAGTCCTCAATAATTATTGGCGCAATATTTTTCATTTGCGGGAACCGGTAAAGTTAAAATCTACCCTTACAAATGCACTGTCCAAGAATGATCGACTCAACACGGTTTTGCACGGAAACGTCGACACCAAGTCTCATTGTGCGAGCTTCTTTTCCGAAACTACAAACTGCACAAGAACGGAGTATGTTTTATTTCTTAACTAAAATACAACAAATCGTGCACTTAAACTTGATAGATGGAACAATCAACATAATATACACGATATATACGGTAGTTCAACTGCTATTTATAACTGTGTATTGCACAGTTCAGCAAAAAAGCTGACATTGTTTGATACGCAATCATCTCACTAGCAGGTACATGGAGCTGTCTCTATTCCATTCACAAAGCTTTGAACTCTTTGCTTCCTTTGTGAAATCCGGCTGCGCGCGGTGTTTACCTGCGACAGCTCTGGTACGTGTCGGGTCACTGGGGGTGCTTTTCTTTTCAATAGTCTGGAATCTAAAGCAATGAATACTTCATTTTTTCCCAAACCCTGCGAATTAGACACGGAAAGAGCTCTTATCGTAAGCATGCAGTCCCCTGCCGATATACGTTGTTAGAATAGAGCGGTTTGAGCTTAATTATGATGACGGATTACCGATGAGCGACCAAACTCAGCAGACATGTCGACTGAATTCTTAAAATGAGTAGGTAGGCCAAGCCTGTCTATCCACGCTTTTGTGACTGTAACTAGACTTTAAATTCACCAGTGCCATTTTCAGCACAAAAGACAATTTTTAGCAACTAACGCGATTTGAAAGAGTGTGCCCCAAGGCAACCTATACTGGGATAAGGGGACTATGCTAAAACGTATACCACATAAACTCATTCCAGAAGGGCATAGTTAGCACCGCTCCAAACTATTCATAGGTCCTACTTCGGGAATCACGAGGATATTGAGAGTTCAGGCATTCAGTACAAAGTTGATCCCCAAACATGTATTCCGGACTAACAACACGTAATTCACAACGGATAGCTACACCTTCATAGGAAATAGTGCGCATTTAGGGCCCATTTTTATCAAAATTTCAAAAGAAATGTAAGTTAAATTTCTTTCCATTGCATCCCACGACAATTCCGATAAATGCCATGCTCTATTGGCCGCAAAATTTTCAGGATTCAGTCTAATTGGGTTTTGGTCAGCGTAAGCATTTTGGGGCCTATTTTCAGGGCGTCACCAGAGCCAAAGGGAACCTCGCTTTCAAACACGGAAATGCATGGCTTAAATTTGTTACCGTGTGGACTTAACAGTTGGCTGCACAGTTTGCAAATAACGACTCCAAATAACTGAGAAGGAAACTTCGTCCATGATCTTTACTTTTTCAAAGTACAAATCTTTACCGTTAAGTGGTTCATAACTGCAACGAATTCAAGGTAAGTTTAATTCTACAGAACGGTGGGTAAAGTTCATACCTGTGTACGTTTGACATTATGAAGGCAAATCATTGGTAGTGTAGATTTCATTCAGGAAGAAACCTCCAGTAAGATATCACAACTAATGCTTACGGTACCTCTATGTGGCATTACGCACCACTATTCAGCAAGGAGTTTTTATACACGTAGCAAACACTCGTCAAACGTATAGACTTTGGCTCCGTGGTTTTACTTTTGCTTTGAATAAATTTTATGCCAAACAATGGTACCACCTTTAAAAAGTTCAGATTATTTTATGTTTTCCCCGATTGTATATAATGTTTAACAGACGTCAGGTTCAGGGATTGGGGTCTTCAAATACAGCAGTTTCTTTAACTTTTGCAATCAGTTTTCATGGGAAATAAAAGTGAACCGCTGAAAAGTCTAAAAGATTGTCTGAGTTCTCTCTCGGCCCTTGCAATAATTACCATTCTTTCCTTTCAACTTGGCAAACGGAAAGAATACACTCCACAGAAATGGAAGTGAACTGTTAAATACAGGCACACGTTTGTTATCAGGAAAAAACGAAATCAATTATTGTGTTGATAAGAAGTATTATTAAGAGATACTACAGTATTTACTGACTAGATACATTTTCCAACCCCCCCCAAAGAAAACCCTTTCCCAAGGTACAAAGGTTCATCTCTAATCCATTCGTTTTCAGATCAGGTCTGGCACACCTGACTGGGAACAGCAGTTGAAATTCCACTGGAAGGCTAACGTGCGTCATAATGGATCTGTTGATGTGGGTAGCTTATAGCCTGAAAATAAGTCTAAATTCTTAAATTGAAATATGAAAGAGTTTTTCTGGTGTACGTATCTTACTTGGACTATTACATAGAGTATGCGCTATTCGTTTGTGTGGGCGAGCGGCAAGCATTATAACACACTGATACTTTTCTTCAATACAAAGAAAAAAATCTACTTAGTGTCGGGGAGGTGTTAATTTGAAGTACGGGTTTTGTCCTACCACTGACGCATATTATTAATCAACACTATACACTCAGTACTCATTTACCATCTTATTCACGTGGAACTCGAGCCTGGTACTCCTGCTTGCTAGTGCAAACGTCTTAAATGCCCAAGTTAGAAGTGAGGGACTTATAGGCGTTCATTCTCCTGAGTAAGGTCTAAGACAGGCCCAGTACATGCAGAGAGTAAAAAAAAGTCAATAAATTATGGATTTCCCACGATTTGGTTTCAAAACTTTGACTTCGTTTTCCAAAGAACCACGTCCATTTTATTGAATACCCCGTTTGAAAGTTGTCCAATAGAATCCCCTTAAACTCGGCATGTGCATGGTGCGTCACGTGCACACACACACTTCTGGTCAATCATACCCAATTAAGCTCTTTTGTATACACGTGCCAGTGCGTGATTTATGCAGAAGGCATTATCAAGTATTAATACACAGTGAAGTTGCATGTTGTTAACTAGAGAGACTGTCTGAGGTATATATGAATATTGATCATTGAATTCGCTCTAAATTGTCTTAACATTAACCATTGTTCTTTCGCCTTCCTCGCTAGTCAGTGATTTTCATATGAGTTTATTGTCAATTTAATTATATACGTTTGAACCCAGGGTTTTCAAGCCATAATTTCAAGGTACTGGAACAGTTTACAAAGTGCTAATATTTAGCTAAATAGTTTTCCACGCACTATCTACAATGCGCAGAAGCAGCCCCTATTCGGTCAAAACGAGACAATATGGGCGAGGATGTTTGTTGGTAACGACCCGACCGCAACGCATACATTTTTTTGATTCGCAAACAATTATTGTTTGCGAATCAGAGAAGTGCATTTGCCCAACCAAAGGAACCCACGTTGCCTAGGAATTGCCAAAGATCCACTGGCTTACGAGGAAGGTGGCCATGCATACCGTTAAAGGGACTCAAAACTGGATGTGCCAAAAGTTTCGATATGAATATTAAATAGTATGCTACACGATCTCTTTGGGGGTTCAAAGTGTATGTTGAGTGAATTTGCACTGACCAAAAATCTGACGGCGCTTTTTTACCTTCATTGTTAGTCATAATCCCAATATGACTCTTGTGGAAAGTGAACTGGGAATATCAAGTTTCAAACGAGGTCAAATCATATGATGAGAATTTTCTTTACAAATATCCAAGAGGAAAACAAATAATTCTGTGCGTGGGTCGCACCTGGCAGCAAAAACACGAATTAATTTAATCACACTTAATCAAACTCCAGGGAAAGGCTAAAAGTAGGAGTGAGCATGCGCTCATTGATTTGGTTATTACTATTGATCTGAGTGAAAGTAAACGTACATCAGGATAAATTGCGTTGATATTATTACAGAAAGAAATAATTTAAGACCTTAACTGATTTTTGAAATTTTCCTTTCGCATCAACGTCTGTAGAAATTGACTGTTTCTTCCTTGAGACATGAAATACGACATTGTTTTTACATAATTGTCATGCATACCCCTACACGTAATGAATTCTTATGCTGCACAACCTGCATAATACAAAACAAAATCTAATTGGGTCTTCTTTCACAGAAAACCGATGTCTCATACTGTAGTTTTTGTGAAAAATTACTTTTTAGAACCATGGCGCCTATAACGAGTCCTGATGAACTGGCTGGTATCGTTGTCCTGGCTTTATGTGCTGGTGGTCTTATTCTTCTGTCCTGTGAGTAATTGTAAACTAAAATTTGATGTGGACTTATCTATATTGAAACAGTACACGAGTGCCAAATGGTGAAGGAATGCAACACTGTAATGACTAACCAATCCTGTTTATTTTTTGAGAGGGGTGTCGGCACTTCATTTTGTAGAAGCATCATGACATATGCCATCCACTGTGATGTTGTGCTATCCAATTCAAGTTGAACAGCGCCCCCATTGTTTTTGATTTCTGCATCAATGCCACCCATACCAACGTTTTAATAGGGACTGTGTTGATCGTGTTAAAAAAAGATTAATTTGTTACCACAGCATTAAAATTAAAAAATATAATATAAATATATTTAATTTTAAAATAATTAAAATTAAACTTTTTACAGGGCTGTTCATGTTGAAGCATGGAAGTCAAGAAAGCAGTGACGAGGAGTCTGGAGGTAAGCAAAAGTGATGATTGCAGACATTCTGGACTAGGTTTAAGCAGTTTTCATAAAATGACAGGTTGAAAAAAAATAGTTGAATCCATGTGAGAACCAAATCAAAGTAATTTCATGCATATTTAATGCATTTAATGCAAAGATGTGTTTATAACGTAATATGCCAGCTTTCGGCGCTATCATCGTGTTTCACTGCAACCCGACGCTTGGATATTAACAACTTCGACCGTGCGTGACAGTTACTTGGTCAGACCCTCCGGAACCACGCCGAATTGTCCTCAGTAACTTGCAAATACCCTGATGAGCCTGGTCGTTGTTGCTAAGATAATACGCTATGTCCATTTTCAAACAATCTCTAGGTCTTTTTCCCCACTAACATTCTCAATTCTGGATTTTGTTTTTTTAACAGTGAGACACTGTATATTACACTCGAGAATCTCGACTAAACAATGCGTTAAGTTTTATTTAGCTCGATTTTTAGCTCTACTTTCATGAGTTATGTTCGATCAGCGTGTTTGAATGAACAAAAGCAATCCAGCGACGTACTGAACATCGTACACTGCGTTTAACAACCTATTACATGGATACGGACCTACATATGGTTGTGCATTTGCATGTACTTGGAAATTATGCGTCCTAGCTGTGGTACATGTTCATGCAGTTCAAACATGTGTTGTACATGTGAATGTGTACATGGGGGTGCGTTCAACATTACCCGGCAATGTTATTATTTATTATTCTTACAAATGGGTCATTAGGGAGACATTTTGTGGTTAATTTTTCAACCTTAGGGAGACATTGGTCATTAGGGAGACTTTCATTCTCTCCATAATACTCCAACTACCAGAAGGAGGCTGAATTAATTTTTAGAGAACATATATTAAGATCTAAATTGAAAACAGACAAAGTGTGGTTCAGATCAGATTAGGGAATTAAATATTAAATATTTAAGTTTGTGGCAGTTCTTATAGGAATGTCTCCCAAGTGACCCATTTTTGGTAAACATTATTATTAGCTGCCTCGGCCACACTGCCGAAGATGACTGAGAAAATATCCAGCTTTTCAAAATAACTAGTTTTTCGTTTCAGTAATCCTTTCTCCATAACACTTTGGCACTTTAGTAAGAATGTTTGCCTTGAAACTTTGCATATACTTTGACCACCACCCGAGAATGGTCCTAAAACATACTTGTCATGACGACGTGATCACTTGCACGTGACAAACCCTCAAAGTTAAATACTTTTCAGGCTTGTATCTTGTATCTTGTCCAAGTGTTTTTAAATTTTGCACAAAAACAAGTCCAAATATGTAATATGTGCAAATTTGGTTTAGGTCATGATGACGTCCTATCTGAATTTTTAAAGTTTTTAAAATTCTTGTAATTTTAACATTGTTTTCAGATATCTCCTGACCCAAACAGTTTTTTCCATAATTCATTTTGCTAGACCTCCAATATGTTTATTAGATATCCAAAATCTTTTGATGTCATGATGACGTCACCAAGCACATATTAGGCAAAGTTTTATCTTTGTAAAATTCTCCAGTACGTTAACAGTTAATCTTCAACTGCATTTCTGAAGTGACGTCATCATTACCTCATTCGTTTATTTTTACTAGTCATTTCAAGAGTTAATTGTGTACGAATTTGCGAGTATATCGCTACTATCCTCTAGTCACAATTTCTGTAACTCTATCAAGTCCAATTATTACCAAAATCTGCAGAAAAACCGTAAAATTCGATTCACCAATTTCAGATGTATTTGCAGATTAGAACTATCTTTATTAAGAGCCAAGTGTGAAGTAATTCCGTTATTAACTCGTAAAATTGTCTGATTGAATTTGTGTACACAGTGGCCCTTGCCCTCAATTCGGTACATAATACCCATGTACAAATATTTGCAGCTGCTACCGGGGCACAAGTGAGGAAATACCTTGTGCAGCACAGTTCGTGCTCGTTCCAGCTTCTGCGGTCCGAAAAAAGCAAGGACTGGTTAGATGAATGGGACTGTGAGAATCACCCTTTCTAAAAGACTTTTTTCTCGGAATTAAAGTTCACAAAATATATAAATGATGCTTAGAAAAAGCCCTGAATTCAAAGCGGCTCCGTGATTGTTCACAAACACTTTACTCTAGCTATTATTAGTATTGACCATGTCAACGGTTGTCAATAAGACCCTAAATTCCTTCTGAAATCCCCCTCCTGGTAAAATGATGAGACTATAGATAAATTAAGAAACGGTGTACATATACAAAAGAAAATAATAAAACTAAAAACAAAAATTATGCAAAACAGGAAGAAAAATGTTGGTTGCACCTCGGAAAAAAAGAAAAATAACATAGTCACATGAAAGGAGTAAAATACACACCAGTTAAATAAACAAAACATTACCAACACTAACGATGCATGACTGTCAGATAGGAATCAATTCTCTGAGCAGAAAAAAAAGTAACTAAATGTACAAATACGCAATGTGTTTGAAACCCGCTTCAAGTAAGCACAAAACTGAAAAAGTAAGAAAGCACTTGAACATATTACACTATGAAATGCAGACAAAAGAGATAAACAATTACACAATTACACCGTAAGTCTGGAGCCAAGATTAAAAACTACGCAATGCGGGACTCACAATGACCGTATGAAACATGTCATTCCATTCCCTACCTGTCTGAAAAAAAAATAAGAATACTTGAAGCAAACAGGTTTAGTAAAATTAATCGTTAATTTCAATGTAAGACCATTTTGGCCAATTCGTGAAGCTGGAATAACGATGACGTAAGTACTGTTATCCATAACTTTATAGCAAAGCATTAGGCAAATGAATTTTCTCTTTGTATGAAGGCTCCTCCAGCTAAGTCAAGAAACCATTTCCTAAAAGCTTGAGTGAAAATCTGGACATGTACAGAAACACCTCGGTTTCTATAATAAGGAATATAAATGTAACGTCTTTAAGTTCATTTAATGTAGACCTTGCAGGTGCTGATTGGGGTGACGTCTACCAGTGTAACGACGTCGATGCGGCATATGATTCGTTTTTTCGTATCTTCTCTTCCTACTGCAACAAACACTTTCCTCTTACTGTCAAATTCACTAACTCTCCCAATAACAGTAAACCGTGGATCAGTCAGTCTATTATTGATTCTTGTAATTTAAAAAATAGACTGTACAGGCGTTTTCTGCGTAGCCCTACCGAGGAAAATGAGCGTGAGTACAAGAATTTCCGAAATCGCCTCACGGCCACCATTCGAAAGGTTAAAAAAGATCACTTTGCCCGCAAGCTTGACTCTCGCAAATCCAATTTAAAAAGCCTTTGGCGGGAAATCAACAATGTTCTTGGTGAGGGTAAACAGAAACCTTTCCCTGACAGTTTTGTGGATGGGGACCACACTATTTCAAGCCCTCTCGACATTGCCAATTCTTTCAACTCTTTTTTTACTTAAACTTAGGTTCTTTCCTTGCTAACAAAATCCCAGCCACAAACGTTCACTTCTCCGATTATCTCCACAACTCGAATCCCTCCTCTTTCTTTTTTACTCCAACAGATTCCTTAGAAATTATCCGTATTGGAAGGCAACTA